TCCAACTCTTAAAAATAAGCAGACATATGGAGCTGTTTAAAAAGGAGCTACATTGGAGCCAAAACTCACTGGATTAGAAAAGGTTTATCTTGAATGTCTGTTGCACTTGCCTGCAAACGTTTTAAAGGAAGTCATACATTTAACGCAATTGCAGAGCAACTTTTTGATATACGTTCCGGCTTTGGCTTGATCATCATAGCTTTCACTGTACTGACAATAGTTCAAATTTTGTCAAAGCATTTAATGAATGCTAAGATGACAACAATTTTGATAATAGTTAAAATGTGATATTATTAAAATCAGTAGAACCTAAAAGTTCATCAGATGAAGAATGTATATATGAAGTAATAAATGAGCAAGAACAAGCAAGTAATGACAAGTATTTACCAAAACACATCAGATGTGCTAGTCATATTCTGAACCTGCTTGCCGCAAGTGACATTTCAAAATTGATTAAAAACGGACAAGGTTTATATAAACGGCAATACATGGGAGCAATGCTTAAAACTATGGTCACGTTTCAGCCGAAACACACAAGTATCTAATGCTGTGGAGAATTTTACTAAAGTTACTAAGAACGCCATGGAAACTCGATGGAATTCTATTATGGTGCCATAATATGGCATAATACCAACACATTATGTTGACTTTAAGAAGCCAAGAGTAAAAGAAAGACTCAAATCATGTGTGCATTGAAATTGCACCGTTTCATACCAGGGAAGTTGGAGTTATAAGAAAAATACCAGCAGTTTATGAAATCTACTGCTGACGTTCTGGACAAATTACAAGAGGAAAATAATTGCTTTCTGGGATTCCTTATGCCAACGATTCAGCAAGTTCAAAAGAAACTTGCGGTGCTTATTCCAAAAGTTATCCAGAGGGGAAGTTTAATTGAGGAATCGATTTCAACATAGATCGGCGTTTCCCACATTTGTTTGAGTACAATAATTGATTCAGAATCTTTACAACTGCAGCTGCATCTCATTCTCATTTGAAGCTGCAATGGGTTCCAGAGGAAAGATAGACTGGATTAAAAAAGTCTTCATAGAAGAGGCACAAAAAATTATTTTAGCTGAAAACTTTGCAGATTCTGACGAAGCATCAACACCTGAAACTGATGATTTTTTTGAATTTGAATCACTAAAAACAAGCTGCATACAAGCAGTCAGCAGTCACTATCGAGTGTTTACAATATCTTAAAGATGGCATATACACGTCTTCATTAGCATGTTTGGAATAATATGCAGTTGTTAAGAAACCTTTCAGAGTTGTTAATGCTACTATTCCATCGTCTGCTCCAGTTGAACGCCTATATTCTAAAGGAGCCTTAATTGCCGTGCCACGCCAAAATCGTTATAAATAAATAATAAGATAAACATTTTGATTAATTGTTGTCGCTGAAAGCCAACAAACATTTAGATTAGATTTTATTTTCATTCTTAACTTTAGTTTTTTTGATTTTTTGCTTCCCAAAAGTATTTTGTATTTTAAATACTTTTATATTGAGTATTTTGTATTTTATATTTTAAATACTTTCGCTCGAGTTTAATTTGTATATGTATTTTAATTGCTTTCTTAATCCATTGTTTGCATTGGTATTACAAATACTTTTTGGAAAGTGTTTTTTACAACTAGTGTTGATCTTTTTAAATTAATCTTTAGTTATTTTTTAACCAGAACAAAATTGTTCAATTGTTTTTTGACCAAAATATATTTGTTTATTTGTTTTTTTGTTAAAAGATTCTTGTTAATAAACTCTTTGATTAATAAACTATAAAACTGATTGGTATTTGTTGTGGAAAATAAATTTTTCCAATAACTTTTTCAGATTCTTAACTAAGGGCGATGTAATTATCCAGTGCCGTGACTAGTGGGTCTCAGGGCTCCATCCTTCCCCCTCTCCTTAAAAAATAACTATCATTAGGGTCCTGTTTTTTTTTTTTTTTTTTGTAGTTACTAAGGTGCTCTTAAAAGTTCTTACGGTCTTATTACAGAGCAGCGCAAAAGAGCATTTAACTAGGAAGCTCACGCCTCCTTTCTTACAAATATCACTTATTAGGCTAGAACTGGCGTTGAACCTCGGACCTCTTGGTTCTGAGCGAGAATTCTAACCACTGTGCTTGTTCACGCGATAAACTGTCTTTGAATTCCAACAAAATCAGTGAAAGTTTTTCTTTAGCGCTGTTTGAACTTGATGCATCTGTCGACGTTTTATTTGAATTTGAGTTAATATTGCAAACGCTTGAGATTTTTTTTTTAAATTTGAATTTAAAACTTCACTTTCCTGTTGTCTAATCCAAATAAATCTGAATTAGGACTTCACTTTCCTGTTGTCTAATCCAAATAAATCTGAATTAGGACTTCACTTTCCTGTTGTCTAATCCAAATAAATCTGAATTAGGACTTCACTTTCCTGTTGTCTAATCCAAATAAATCTGAATTAGGACTTCACTTTCCAGTTGTCTAAACCAAATAAATCTGAATTAGGACTTCACTTTCCTGTTGTCTAATCCAAATAAATCTGAATTAGGACTTCACTTTCCTGTTGTCTAATTCAAATAAATTTAAAATATCATTGACAGTATGTCATAATATGCAATAGCTTCATTTTCAGCGACACCCCAAATAATAATAAAGTCGTTTTCTATTTTACTGATGGATTTTTTTGTTTGCAACCTCAGAAAGAAAAAGGGCTTTTTTATCATTTAATAAAAGAAGACCGGACCATAGAATATGTTTTTCGCTTGTTAAGTTAGTTTGTTCTTTATTTTAAAATTGTTTAGTATTTTGCCAGCTCATTTGTTATAGTAGTTTGTCTTGTGTGTGTGTCTATATATATATATATATATATATATATATATATATATATATATATATATATATATATATATATATATATCGAGACGTTAGAATTATCTTGTTCTATCTCCACATTTTTTAGTTTTGAGATAAAACGATTTAAAAAACAAAAATTTTAAAAGACAGCGTATAAATTTTTTTTATAACATGTTTTTTCCACAACTTTTTTACTTATAACTTAGGTTTCAATTCAGTAGAAAGACATTATTTTGAGGAACACAACACTATCATTAACTCAATTTTTTCAGAAAGTGGGGATAGAACAAGATAATTCTAACGTCGCAATATATATATATATATATATGCATATATATATATATATATATATATATATATATATATATATATATATATATGCATATATATATATATATATATATATATATGCATATATATATATATATATATATATATATATATATATATATATATATATATATATATATGCATATATATGTTTTCTTTGATTGTCTCAAAATGTAAAAAAATGACTAAGGCTACGCTTGGTTTAGGCTGCCGATACTCGGTACAGTTAAAGCGATTTACAAATTATTCGAATTCTTTTATTTGGAATTAGCATGATTTTATTAACGTATTATGTCCAAACAAGAGCTTTAGATAATATAATTATTTTTTGCTTCAGGTTTTTTCAATATTTAAAGAAACTTTTTTTTTATACATAATTTTCAAAACCTTTTTACTACCCCTAATAGTGAAGCTAAAGAACACCATTTTGGAGTTTTTAGATTACTTTTGCTCATCGGCGTTAACATGAGTTTAGTTAAAATCTCTTAAAAAAGTGCCTTAACCTGCTTCCGAGTTCTAATCGGTTCTGACGTATATTAACTATATATAGTTGTCAAAATACAATATTTCTATCAATTTTCACAAAAAATACTAGAATTCCGAACTAGAAAGAGCTAATAATTATAAAAAAAATGGCCCAATATACGATCAGAACAGATCAAATTGATAAAGTTTGATGTTCATTTCATCTAAACAACCTATTTATTTAAAATCTTATTCAAATATGGACAAGCAATTGTGATTTAAAAATTAAAAAAAAAAAAAAAAAAAGATCTTCGGTCGGTGTTTTGTTCGCTACAAACATTTATATCTTATGATACCGCAAAATTTATCATTTCAATTTTTTTCGTCTTATCTTAATTCACTGACCTGATCATTTAACGGAAATATGTCGTAGTCAACGAGATATCATACCGACGCTATAATATTTTAAAGTTGTGTTGACTACACAAAGTATGTAAACTTAATTTGACGATAATATTTTATTTCACCTCAATCGAAACTTTTTTAAAATCGTATTTACTGTGCTTGAGCTTACGTACCTGTGCTTACGAGGTTTACACTCTGATGTTTAAGAGGTGATGATTATGAGGTTAACGACCTTTTCTGATGGTGCGATGATTCTTGAAAAAAAGCAACATACAAATTGCTTAATTTAGTGGACATTCTTAATCGTAGCAATTGAGCGTTTATTACGAGTTGATAAACTCGCATAAAATGCATAAAAGATGCATAAAATATTTAAAAATATTTTATGCATTTTTTGCAAAAAGATACATAAAATATTTAAAAAAATTAAACCACGAGATAATTGGCGGATCCAGCGGTAGTCAACATATACGTACACCATATATAAAAAGATGTTTGTATAAATAATTGCTTTATTAACAGACTTGCAATAAAAATAAATTTTTAAAATTTTTTGTATTTCCAAGTATTTCAACCTCTCCCTCCCAAATATACATGCGCCATTTTGTAATAAATTTAATAAAAATAAATATATTTATACATTTACTACGCATTCTGTGCAGTCATATCAGTCATTCCCGCATTTTTTAAATCTCCTGGATTCGCCACTAATCTCATGAAAAAATTTCGTACGAAGAGGATATATATATATATATATATATATATATATATATATATATATATATATATATATATATATATATATATATACATATATATATATATATATATATATATATATATATATATATATATATATATATATATATATATATATATATATATATATATATATATATATATATATATATATATATATATATATATATATATATATATATGTATATAAAAGAAATATTTCATCATTATAAAAAAATTCCAATATTTATTCAAAACACAGGAGGATTTCGCTTAATCAATTCAAGTAATGATTGAATCTGATGTCTTAACTGTTTCACTTCATTTACTAGAAGATCATCACCATTTAACAAAACCTTTTCTACGTGTCGAGCTAAATAGGTCGAAATATCATTTGTATTATTTAATGAATAAGGCCAGCATAAAATCAGCATCGTAATAAAATGACTATCAGTAACTAGTTCTTTTGAATTATCTAACAAAGTAGAAGAGCCAGTCTTTGTAGTCAATACCTTACGTCCATCATGCGTACTTGTATCTATTTCATTGACAAAAGGCTTGCCGACTCTTTCGATACAGGTGCATTGATTAGATATAAAATTACTTCTGGATTGAAAAAAGTTTTTCTTGAATTTACTTACCATAGAATGAATGATTTGGTATATTTCGGTATTCTCTAATGATGCAAGTATTTTTCGGACAGCAGAAATATGATCAGGAGGAAGAGTATCTATGCAATGCGTATTAAACTGAGTGTTAAAAACAGAATCCCCCTCTAGCAACTCCTTAAGAGCCTCATTTAAACCGGCCAAAGTTTGTCCTATTGTAACGTCTAAACTGTCAGAGATTTTAACTGATTCATTTTTCAAAAACGTACGCCAAGATCTCATAAATTTTGCCATACTACTTTGTGAAACACTATTTGTAGCAATAGTAACACGAAATATATTTGAAAGACGAAAGAGAAGTAGCGGCATTTCTTCAGTTTTACGAAGAACAATATAACCTCTTGGTAAACCTAAAGAAATATTATCTAATTATTAACTAAAACTAATAATTAAATTATAAATGCTTGTTGAGATATTTTTATTTGAGCTGTGGCTATATTCTTAAATATCAACTGGGGACCTTCTCTTATAGGCCATAGTTAAAACTTAGAAAAATTTTTTTTTTTAAATACTAAAGGACCCCAATGAAACTAAATAATGTTCTGCTTTTGCTGTGTTTAACGTTCTACTTTTGTGGTCTTATTCTGTATTAAAAATCTGAAGTTTTAATAATAAAAATAACATGCACAAAATAGGTCACTTTTTTTGTAACAAAATTTTTTAAAATTAAGTACCTTACTATCCAAAGTAAAATTTAAAGTCATGAAGCTCAATCATGATTTTTTTTTTCTCTTTAACATTTTTTTAAAGTAAAAACATCTTTTTAAATGTATTTTAACAAAATAAATTAGAAAACTTTGATGCAGCTTGATTTATTGCGCTAACTCATAATAACTCCATCTCTTTCTATATATGTGTGTACTGTTAATTCCGGTCGAATATCAATTAGCTCGAACTTTTGTTATCTTGAACGGCTTCAATCAGTCCCTTAAAACCCTTTAATTGATTACTATAAAAACTCCGGTTAAGTCAAATCTCGGATAACTCAAACTTTGTTAAGTCGAACCATTTTTTCGTGCCCTTTCAGCAAATTTCTTCGGATAACTAGAACATTCCGTCTCGGAAAAAAAAAAATTAAAATAACTGATTTTATTTAAAGAATTCATTCCTTATATAAAACATAAATAATAGTAGCTTAATATTTAATCTTTTTTTTCCAATGTATTTAGATCTTAATAGAATAGATCATCAGACGTAAAATGAAGCTATAATAAAACATCGCTAAAAAACCAATTATTTTATAGTTTTAATGAATCTCTAAATAAAGGACCACTAGTTTTTAGACGCAACTTTATTACCAAATAATAACGATATTATTGTGTTGCTAAACTTTTTTAAATGTTATCTTTTGAGTGTACAGCATGAATACAATACGTAACTTCTTTTACTGAAAAATTTGTAACACTTTTATTAGTTTAATGGTTTATACTTAATATTAATTCTTTAGCATTGAAAAAAGAAAAAAATTCAAACTAATAGCTTATATAAGCCAAAGTTTGACTTAGTAGGAATTTGCTTCTCTAACGATTGTTCGACTTAACGATAGTCGAACAATCGTTAAGTCGAACCATATTCCTAGGAGGTTCGAGTTATCAGGAATTAACTATATGTGTGTATGTGTGTGTGTGTGAGTGTGTGTGTGTGTATATATATATATATATATATATATATATATATATATATATATATATATATATATATAGGAACAGTCACAGTAAAAGAATGAAATTTAATTAAATGACGAGTAACACGAGAATGAATTTTAGTAGGTGGCACAAGACACGCTAGCTCTTTAGAGCAGTGTCCATTATAGTATTTGTAGAAAAGAGAAAGAGAAGCAACATTACGATGATGTGATAATAGTTGAAGGTTGGCTGCAAGAGTAGATCCAACTCTGTTTACAAAGCGTTTTTGCACCTTGTCTAAAGGAGAAAGAGCATCATTGGAAGATCCGCTCCAGATATGGCAACTTGATATGCAACTTTAGAGGATGCTAATTTTGAAATATATTTGATATATGGTTTCCAAGAAAGACCGGAGTTAATCCTAGAAGATGAAGAGCAGACGACTCATGACGTACATTACCGTTCATAAATATATGGACCTAAATTATTGCGAGAATGACTGGGTGAAAAAAATTGGGTTTTATCTTAATTTAAGTTTACCAGCCACTGTGAGTTCCATTCTGTAGCAGAAATAAGATCCTTTTCAAGCTCAAATGCCCTCTCCAAACAATTAGAGAGTGTTGACAAAAACAAGACAAGAATAAATGATTGTATCATCATCGAATAATGCCACCTTAGATGTGAGAATATCTGGAAGATAGTTAATGTAAATTAAAAACAGTGTAAGGCCAAGGTTAGAACCTAAAGGAACCCCTGAAGTTACAGGATATGAAGAAGAGTGCTATCCATCATGATGAGACCAGCATGCCAAAAGCTTTAAAAATGTCAAGAGCAATAGCCTTAACCTTCCCACATCTATCTAATGCACGATAAAACCTATTGGTTATTACTGTTCGCAAATCAGTTGTAAAAATCAGTTGTAGAACAAAAAGATTGAAATCCACATTGATGATCAGAAAGTAAGTTATTAGATTCAAGATGAGAGAATAAGTATTTGTTAATTAAAGGTTCAAAAACCTTACTTATGATAGAAGACTAATGGGACATTAGTTAGAGGAGTCAGATTGCTCTCCAGAATTTTTGAAAATAAGGATAATAGATACTGCTTTCCAGCAGGCTGGAAAACAATACTCTGATAAGGACTTGTTAAATAATTTTAAAAATATAGACTCCAGCTCCGAAGAACACTTCTGTTAGACTATATTAGGTATGTTGTCCAAACCACAAGCTGTGGAAGAATCTAAGCAGGAAATCACTTTACATATACAGAAGCTGGAGTGATAAGAATGTCAAGCAATGGATCAACCTGCTTGTCGACAATATATCAGGTAGAATGCTACTAGTGGAGTCAAGAGATAATATTGATGAGAAGTTCTTAGCAAACAATTTAGCTTTGTCTTCAAGTAAGGTGACAAAGTCTGAATCATACAAGGGAGGTGGAATAATAATAATAATTTGCCCCTTATTATTGATACTGTTAAAGATTCTCCAGAAGTCACGAGAGCATAATTTTTGTGATGAAATACGAGATTTATGACCTGAGAATAGCGGGCTTTGGCGTTAGACTAAACCTTTTTACAATGATTTCTAGCAATAGTAAACAGATCTCTGTTTTCTGGAGAATTGTTTTGCTGATAGATATGGAAGTAATGGCTTCGATTGGAAATTACAGCAGCACAATGTGAGGGAAATCATGGAGCAGTAAGGTTTGAATTGGAATCATCAAGAGGAAATAAAAGATTCCACGCCATTCCATGTCTGAATCCATAAAGTTATGTAAAAAGCACATTTGTCATCAGGAAGAAAGAATTCTACCTAAAGGCCACCATGAAGAAAATCACAGAAGCAATTCCAGTCAGCTTCAAGGTAGTTGTAAGAGATAAAATGATAGGATCATTCGGATGATGAAGAAGAATGAGATGATAGTTTTAAAGAGATCAAACTGTAATCAGAGATCAAGCCAGAATACTGTGATTTGAAAACCATGTTATATTTTATTTTTAAGTTTTTAGAAATTGTATAAAAGATTAAAATAATTCACAATTATTAATAACAACTTTAAGAGTCACTGCTATAATAAATTAATAAATAATTATTTTTTATTTTCATTATTATTAAAAATAAAACTTTATGGCAAGCATTAAAAGAAAATTCCCTATTCAGAACTTTTTATTAATATTTACCTGTGACACCATCAAGTGCTTTCATAGCTTCCCACAAAAGATCAAGTTTTACCCAATGTGGTGGGTATTTAAATCTTGCCACATCAAATATGAGAACCATATCTTTCTTGGGATGATATGCACCTAAAAAAAATGTATAAAAAAAAATTTAAATAATATTGATTTAAAATTATCAAAAAGAGCAAAAACTTTAGATTCATCTTTATGGAACTTTCTAGAATTTTCTGGACTGGTCTGAATGTTTTTCGAAATCTGTGAAACTTTCAAATATTTTCTGGAGTTTTCTAGAAGTTTATGGAAACTAGCAAGATTCAGACTATATAAGCTGCATGATTGAGGAACGCTAATAATTATATATAAATGTGTATTCGCTACATGGCATCCAAATAATATAAAAATACAAAAGCACTTATATTTACTATTATTGCTTTTCAGATATCCAAGTATTATCTTCAATCATAATGTCCTATAAGAAAAAGGAAAAGAATAACTGTTCCACTAGAAGAACATTCACTGAAGGATAACAGCAGGATACCACTAAAAATCCAAATTGTTGGTTGTTATCTGTTCTTGGGAGTATCCATCAATGGGAGAAAATAATGCATAAAACAAATCGAGAAAGAAGTAGCAAGATTATGACAAAAGAATTTGAATTTTCCACATTTATCAATTCAAGTTGCACAGGCAAAACTGGATCAAGTGCAGAAGACATACAATAAATGTGTAAAACAAAGAAAATACCATCTATTGAATCAAGTTTTTTGGCATCAGCAAAAATGTCAACTTCTGAAAACGGCATCAGCAAAAATGCCATTCAGAAAAACAGTCCACAAGTATCAGCAAATACTGCAACCAAATTATTTTTCTTATAATATAAAACTTAAAAAATTTTTATATTTTATTAATTAGACATTTTTTGTTATTATACTTTTTAAATTATTAAAATTGATCATTCCGTTAAAAAGTTATACAACTTCTAATTTTGTCCAGATTTTTAGTTATAACATGCTATAATTAATATTAAGTCATGAATAATTTTCTTGTATAAAATTTAATCAACAATAACATTGACTTTGAAAATGATAACATTGACAAATATTATTTTTTAAATATTATAATCTAATATATTCAAAATTAATATTAATTGTTTGTTACATCTTAATAATAATTAACTGTTTGTTACATCTTCATATAAAAATATTGATATACTTTTAATATAATGTTACTATATAACAACAACAATAATAATAATAATAATAGCAATAATATTAATAATAATAATATGATAAAATTTTAACTTAAGGAAAAGAAACAGACGTTACTCCATCTGAGCTACCAACTCTTGGTGCCCTTCTTTGTAAAGGTACACTGATGAGTTGTCAGGATGATGTTCAGGATATTTGCAGAGAAAGATTAACCAAAAAACTAGAAATTGATAAGATAATGAAATCTATGTCACGACTGTTTGATATAACTAACTGCAAATGTGCAATTTTATTCTGTAATGAATTGAGTTGTCTGGGATGTGATAAAAAAGTTCATATCAACTGTAAATTTGAAAAGTCAGTAAGGATTCGTTAATAGAGTTAAAATTTATTCACTTGCAGAGAAAAAAAGAGGGAGAACAAACTTAAATTATGATAGGATCAAAAGACTAAAAGGAAGTGAAACGCAATTGAGCGGTGTAGTAAGAAAGAACAGAATTTGAAGAAGTTCGAGATAATAATTTGAATTGCCATTTGAAAACCTATGCCTATGATCAGGTTTTGGAAAAAAGTATTAACGAAGAAGAGTGCTCTAAAAGTGAGTTCGAATGTTTTAGTTACACTGAACATATTAATCTATTAAACTTAAGTAATGATTTCAAAGTAAAGAGAAACTATATGAAGATTCAAAATACTGCTATTGCTGCAATAAGATATGAAGTTTCAAACACTGATGCAGATGCAATTGCTTCAGGATATAAAGTTAAATTGCTTCATAGCTTAAATTTCATTGGTTGTGATAACACAGCTGCAAATACAGGTCAAAATGGAGGTGTCACCCATTGTTTAGAAATTAAACTATAAAGAAAATTAGTTAATATGTTCTCTTCACACAAAGAGGATGGTTAATATGTTCTCTTCACACAAAGAGGATGGCTAATATGTTCTCTTCACACAAAGAGGATGGCTAATATGTTCTATTCACACAAAGAGGATAGTTAATATGTTCCCTTCACATAAAGAGGATGGCTAATATGTTCTCTTCACACAAATAAAATTTGCTTTTGGTATTTAAGAGCTTGATGGAAAAAAAAAACAACCTCAAAGACAGTGTTTTCTGGACCCATTAGTAAGTTGCTTTTTAAGGTTACTGAAATGGAAAAAAATTAAACTTGGTGAGGAAATAATAAAATAGTTATATTCAGATCAAAAAAAAAATATGGCAGACTTCAGGAACTGTTACTGAAAGTTTGGTTAACCAAAAACCAGACACTATAGTCCATTTAAGGTGGTTAAACACAGGTTCCTCTATACTTTTATTGTGGGTATACAAGTATAGGTTAGATGAGGTAAGAAAACTAGAGTTGATTGTTAAGTTACTTGTATCAGTATACTTCCCTATGTGGTTCCAAATCAAAGTGAAGCATATTTGGATAGAAGGTCCACGGCACATCTTGAACTAACTCAACCTTATCAAACTTCAAGATAAAAATGTACAAAATGTTATTGAAAAATATGCGAGATCATCAGCATGGAATTCTCATTCTGAAACCTTATTGCAAACATTACTTTGCAGCCAAAATAAAATTGAAAGGAAATTTGCTGTTAACAAAATTTTAGAAAGTAGAAAAAATGAGGAAATGGAAACTCTAGCTCCTAGAACATACAAGCTTCCTCATTTAAACCTGTATGCAACCAAATTGACTGAGTTAATAACATGGGAAGAGGCCTATGAACCCATCTCAAACTGTCAGATGAACATTAATGAGCTAAAATTAATCCTGGATTGTCCTATGGTATTTCCCTGTTCACACACAAGGAGTTGAAAGGACAGTTAAAAAGGTAAAATTAACTTTCCCTACCCTCAATAATATATTAGTTGTTAAAAATGTTAAAAAATTTTTACTCTCTTAAAAATACTTTTCAAAACAAGTTATTTTTTTTTTAGGTAACTGCAACTTCTGAAAAGTCTGGTTTTGAGACAAGATAGATTTTTCCATGCATGAGCAGAAAATAGATTGATAATGGCTTGTTTCAACAGCAAGAAAACCTCATTCAATTTTGATGAGTTCTATTTGAGTTAAATTTTGAAAACTTAAGGTTTGCAAATGTTGCCTTTATTCTGATAAATTTATTGATGTTGTTCTTTAATATATATGACTAAAAGCAACAAAATTCTTAGGGGCTAACTTTTTTAATTAAAGTTGAAAAGTACGAGATGACCTTAGATGCTTATATGGTAAATTGGATTTTTTGGTTTGTGAGTAATTAAGTTTTTTTTCATTACTTTGGTAGAAATATTATGTTTATACTTATGTCAAATAAGAATGCTTTGAGAAAAATTGCAATGATTGGAGCCTGGGAACAAAAAATTTTTTACTTCTGCTTTTTTTCACTCTTTGATAAGTTTTTTTCTATATAATATTCCGGTGTTTGTCTTAAAAAATGAGTTAGGGTTGTCTCTCTTTAATGCGCTTGTATAAAGTCATCTTTCTTCAATTTTTGCTGCTTAGCAATTATTATATCTATATTTTCAGTGAAAATCAAAAGAAATAAATAAAAAAAAAAAATCAAAAAGACTCTCCAAAGCAATAAGCTTTGATGAGTCTTTTTGATTTTTTTTTTTGACAAAGGACTAAAGGTTCTCATATACTGTTGAAAGGTCACAGAAGAAACATTTGCCTATCAAATAAAAAGCTACAAATGTTCTTAACATTTCACACAGGTCTGCAAGTATTTGTGATAATAATTTTGATTAAAATAATCTAAAATTGATTTAAGAAAACATGATCAAAAAACAAAAACAAAAGATAATACTTTAAGTTCCCAAAAAAAAAAAAAGGTAACCAAAAATGGGTTTCAAATGGAAAACAAACTAGATAAATATCTCAGCTCAGTGTTTGTAAACGAAGAAATGCCAACCATACCAAAATGTACTTTATTCAACTGCCAAATCTCAAGTTTTGACAATCTTACCATGGAGTATAAACTGGGCAAACTGAACTCACAAAATAACAAAAGTAGTCATAAATCAACAGGAATTGACAGCAATTCATCTGTGAACCATAAAAGAATGCTCCAAAAGCTTATCTGTACCTCAATCAACAACATTTAATTGTTCATTGAAATCTAGTCAAATGTCAGATTATTGGTTAAGAAAAATGTGACACTCTTGTTTAAAAAAGAGAATAAACTATGTACAAACAATTAACCAGAGATGTAGGTCTCGAGACCAAAGTCTTGGTCTTGAGACGCCTCGAGACACATATTTCACTGTCTTGGTCTTGGTCTTGAAGCCTAAAGTCTTGGTCTTAGTCTTGGTCTCGAAGTCTAGAGTCTTGGTCTCGGACATCTACTGACTTTTACTTTTTTGGCTCTTACGAAAAATATCAACTCAATAGGCCGGGTGAATAAAAAGAAGCAATTGCTTTTACTAAGTAATTGGTCAGCTTAACATGAATAAAAACTTCAGCAATCTTGTCAAAGTTTTTATTAACGTAAAGCTGAGTAATTACTGAGTAAATTACTTAACTTTATGTGAATAAAATTTGACGAAAACTTTTAAAGTTTTTATTCACATAAAGCTGACCAATTATTGAGTAAAAGCAATTTCCCGCTCTTAACGGTAGCTCGTTGCGTTGGTTTGACAAATTTCTAAATTTATGTTAGGAGAATTAAGAAAAACTCTTTTTTTTAAAATGTTTAATTTAAATAATTTATATTACTATTTTTTTATTTGTTTATGTATTCTTTTTGTGATCAATGTTTAAAAATGCATAAATAAGTAAAAAATCAGTCCATAAAAATTTGTATTTAGACATTAAAAAAAAGAAAAAAAGTTTTATTTGCTATTCTCCTTATATAAAAAACAATTACTTTGAACCTTGTCAAACAATGAGACAAGTTGTATCTAGAAAA